TAGCGATAATTATTTTGACGCGATGTAGAATGGCTATAAACTCTCGTCGCTCTTCCCTGTAATTACAAAATTAACTAATCAATTTAGAATCGATTTTATTGGGAACATAAATTCTAAATATATATATATATATATATATATATATATATATATATATATATTATTCATATTTTTCAATCAATTTAAATCAAATTAAAATTCCCAGATTTTATTTAATTGATTCAAAAAGATTGATTCGAAGATTTTTAATCGACAATCATTACCATCTATAAATAATGAAAAAAATCATTTAAAAAATCTAAAAAAAAAAATACGAATAAAATTTCAAGTCGATTAGTTAAATTAAACGCATAATTATATTTAATCTTCTATAATTACGTTACTGTATAATAATCATCTAGCTCACTGCGCAAGAACGGAGAGAGCAGCGTGTTTAATAGTTCGAGTACAAAGTGCAACGGTGGTTTCGTGGCGCGGTCGATCTTTACGATGTGTTTCCTACGACACCGTCTCGTACAGAGGAACGTTATAAATAGCGTTATCGTGAACACCGCTCACATCGCAGCCGATAAGGGCGGATGGATTTTGCCATCCGTCCATCCATCGACGGGCGACGATTTCTCGCGGGACGACCGTCGAGAGCTCGCCCTGCTATTTTTAGCGCCACGTTCATTAAGAATAATCTAACCGCGAATAAAAAGATGTAAGTAGAACAGGCTCGATAAGCCGGTCGGCCGATAAAGATGTCGCGCGATACGAGCTCCGCTCGAGGACGAATTGATCCGTTTTTATCGCCGCCGCGTTATTTCGGAATTACAAGTTATTCGCCTGAATTAATTCAGGAAAGAGAGAGACAGAGAGAGAGAAAGAGAGAGCGAGAGAGAGAGAGAGAGAAAGAGAATCAATTCTTTACAAAAAAACAATTATAGCGAGAAGAGCATATAAAAGAATGAAAAAAAGAGTCATAAAGAAAAATACGCGTAATAGCCTATTATTATCTGATAAAAAAAAATAATTTATTTCGTAAAAATTTTTCCTTGTTCTTTTTTTTCGGAAAGATTGACAAAGTCGTCGGCAAAAAAATGATCATTTATTCATTACGTTCAAGGTAGAGAAAAATATATTCAACTGGCGTGCATTCTTCAAATGAATATTACTTACATTTCACGAAAAAATATATAAACAAATAATAAGTAAATTACTTCAAATAGAGAGAGATAAAATAATAAGTAACTTTGTCAAACTGAATAATTCTTAATTTTCATTCATTAATAAGTAAACGATTGTTTTTACTCGCCGAACTTTTCAATAAATAATAAAATTACAAAATACAGACAACGCGAATCGCCGCGAGTAGACAATCTGAAATCAAGACAGGGTGCATTCCCGAGGAAAGAGAATTCCGATAATCGCCGTCTGTAAGGAAATAATTAATCGCGTCTGTAAAATCGCGGGTTGCGCGTCGGACGCGAATAGCCGAGATTACGCGGCGAGAATGGGAGAGATGGCAGGTTGGGAAAGGGAGGGAGGGGCAGGGAACGGGGCAAGATATCGTCTTTGGTCGCGGTGTCGATCGATACTATCCTATCTATTATTAGACGAGTAACGGCACACGGATCGTTATTATTATTATGCGAAATGTATTTGTAGCCGGCAACGAAGACGACGAAGCCAGAATTCTATTCCAACCGCGAAAATTATGGCGCGTTCCGTTGAGCCAGCTCAAAGATACAAGGGACTCTCCTCCCTGTCTCAAGACGGGACAAAGATAACGTTATAGAGAGCGGGGGAGGATAGCGAAACTCGATCGGCAAACTAATCTATCGAACTCCCGCGGGGTTGGACGGAATTAAATCTCGCGAAACCAACTCGACCGCACGGCTTTGGCGAACGATTAATAATGAATCGCGCTCGGTCTCGAGGTGTCGCGATAATTTCACCCCTTCCTCGGTTTCCTGCCTCCGCGAAAAACGCTTTCAACCGGCTTTTAAGCCCGGAATTATCGGCTTAACAATTGTTAAGCGCGTACGATTCGCAGTGACGATTTCGATACTTTTGCATCTTTTTTTTTTGGGAACCATCCACCGCGATCCCCTTTCTTTTTTATCGCGAGCGAAAATGCCCCGCGAGAAAATAAATGGGGAGAACGCGACCATACGTAAATTATTCAACAGTGTATTGACCGTCGCGTCGCGAGACCACGATACTATATTATCTATCTATACCCCGGGTGTATAAATTATGCAAGACGATGCGGCATGGTGATTTTCGAACGTATCTTTCTTTCGCGTCGATGCGCTCAGACCTAGAAAATAAACGATCCTCGCCGGGATGGCCGCGACGAAGATTCGGCGAGGCATCGATTTTCGATCAACCGCGGGTCGCCTTCTTGGCCAGGCCGCTTCTGGAAAGGAACGAGGGGATTAATTATGCACCGGGACGCCTAACTTTGGCCTGACGATTATTCGTTCACATTGAGTGACCAATGCGACGAATTGGATAGGAAATCGAATCGGGAGCGGAACCCTTAAACTTAATCATCCTGTGGTCCTAATGTTACCTCGATGCATCGTGTACGCTACCTTTTTATATTTTTATCGCAAATTACGAATTACAAATCTCTATAGATAATTTTAATATAAGAAAATCAAAAAAAGATAAAAAGGAGATATGGCAGGGAATTGTCCTATTAATATATTCCATCGATAAATAGCGTTATTTTCTTTTCTCTGAAAGGAAAATAAAGGATTTATTTTTAAAACAGCTGGAATAAACATTTCTTTTCTTCATCGAAAAAAGATGTAAAATATGTTATAATGAACACGTCGCGCCATCTGATGGTATAAATTTAAAAGAAAAAAAATTATTGAAAAAAATTAACTATTGGTAAAAATAATCTCCAAATAAAGCCTTCCTTCACGTAAAAGAGTCGCGAAAATAATGTCCGGTCAAGGTATCCGCATCGGATCTCGCAAGAATCATATATAGCAAAGGAGCAAAAAAAAAAGATATTAATTAAAGCCGAGGAAAAAATCTTAGGAGGCGAAAAGGCGCGTGAGAGAAAGACAGAGGTGCGTGAGAGAAAGACAGAGGTGCGTTTGAGGAGCGGCGTAAACGCGAAAAACAGCCTCGGGAACGTTAACGGAGAATTAATTGCGTGGCACAGACAATCGTAAAACGCGACAGCCTAAAATCCCTCTTCTCTCGCCGTACAATAAGTGTTGGTATACGAGCGTTCTCGAGACAGCGAGGATGCGCCTTCGGCCGCGTCCGCCATTCGCCATTCGCCATTCGCCATTACGCCGCATCGTCGGTGCGTACGACATGCGCGGGCACGCGTGCACAAACACACGCGCGCAGGCGGAACGCGCGACATAACCACGCGCCAATATGCGCATGCATAATGCCAAGCATAACCGAGTGGTTTATTTATAACGCAGTGCGGAAATACACCCGGTTTCTGCCTTTATTGTAAAACGTCGTTGTGTAACGCCGTTGTGTAACGTAATTGAACGATAATATGATAGGCGACAATAATATGCGCTTGTCTCTCTCTCTCCCTCTCTGTCATTTTTACCTTCTCCTTTTTTTCTCTACTTTGAGAATTCGCGATTCCTGAACCTGGCGATGTCAGTAACGGCAGGAAATGTCAATTTTTTTTTCGACATAAACACCGGAGACGTGAATCATGATGTTTTTATGCGACCGACGAGTCTCGCATGCTGTAACTTTGATCTTGACAAACGATATCCAAATTAACTCGATCACCTCGATTGACTCTGCGACTCTTTGTGTTTCCGATGCGTCGTAAAACCGTGTATTATCAACAAAAACTGCCAATTGGCCTCGCACGATCGAATTTATATAGGTAACAATTGTGAAACGGACGATGATAGCAATGTTGTCAACATTGAATGCATCTTGTCGTTGCATGATATTGAAGAGCGTGATTAGATATACACATTGTGTAAATATAGTAGCATTACTTGCAATTTAATGTTGAAATATAACAAAATAAATTCGACCTTCTATCTCTCAAGTACATCTAAAATGTATATCACTTACAAACAGAATCTGATCTCGATAAGATTATGATAATTCAGTAAAAATGTCACGTAGTAACTTTTTTATACGATGAAAGTTACATAAATAAACGTATGACAGATAAATATTTATCGTGACTCGTATTAAATCGAATCTCAATCGGATCTGATTCTTGAGTAAGTATCGAAGACTTGGCCTTTGTTGAATCCACTCGAGAAAAGTCGAGTGCATCTTGTCTAAATGGCTGCCTGCCTACGCGTGAGTTTTCGAAAATGGCACGAAGCGGATCCGATGCCTTTTTACTCGTAGGTAGCCTCTTGAACCAGGGTGCCATTCGAAACGTTAGCCAAGCCGAGTATTTACGATACTGGGACGCGAATATCTCTAATTATAGACCGTTGCAACATCCTCTCTCTCTCGGCATATGCACTCTGTACTCGGCTGTATAGTGGGTGTAGTCTGACATGCCATAAATTGATGGATGTGCGAGACAATCTTTCCCTATCGACTTATATTTACTCGCCAACTTGACATTTTATCGATTCTAAAAATTTATTATTTGGAAAAGGAAAGTGGAATATTAATCATCGTGAAATTATTATTCTTTTTTAATACTATTACCATGAAGAAACCCTCATCACGACGCAATCGTTACATGAAACTAGTAGTAATTTATATTCACAACTTCTTCGCAAATTATTTCCGATGAAAAATTTTTATATTTTCTATCTATTATATCTATTATATTTTCTATCTATTAATAATTTATGCTTTAGAATATGTTTTCGATATCATTCAAAATATCCCTGAATTCTTCAGAACGAAAGAATAGAACGAAAAAAATTTAATAAAATAGTGTCAAGTAAATTAATTTAATATAACTCATCGTTCGCGCATTCAGCGCGAGAGAGATAGCTACTTTCTACGTATTATGTGAACATCCTATAAATCTGCAGATCTTCAACTCGTTGCATCGATTGTCTCTCGAAAGACTGTCGTTCTGAAAAAAAAATGGCTACGCTCTTGACGAGAAATTACTTTCGAAATTTACGAGCGAAACGCGACTCTAGTGGACAACAATCTGGCCGAGTTTACACGTGGTGCAACGATATTAGAAGGTCGCGTGGATGGAAGGGGATCCTGAAGAACAGTCTAGGTGTACTTGCGAGCGTGGGTGCCACCTGCGGTGCATTTTTATACTTCCTGGACCGATCGGTCCGAGCCGCGCAGCCGGTCGCTCGCCTGCCCAGCTATCCCTGGGACTTTGAAGGCTTTTTCACGTCCCTGGACCATTCGGCGGTGCGACGGGGCTGGCAGGTCTACAGGAGCGTGTGTCACACGTGCCACAGTCTGCGCTACGTACGATTCATGGATTTGATCGACGTGTCACATACGGCGGACGAGGTCAAGGCCATCGCTGCCGAGTTCGAGGTAGATGGTAGGCTTGAATTTATTTCGCGCGTCAGATCCGTATCTTCGACGTAGGCAGCTTTTTTGCCACCTCCTCGCAGTCCTCTCGTAATTGACTTCGGACTTGATACGATGATGAATAATTCAATTAAAAGCTGGCTTGCCAGAAACCTACCCTGTCCACGCAAAAATGAGATTAACTAGTACTTTGCGAGATATACGTTTCCATCCGGTATTACCAGTATTTGCGAAGTATTCGATTATTTATTAAATAAATGTTTCAAGAAACTCTCGGAGATTTTTTTAATAATAATGAAGCAAAAAAAAGAATAGAGAGAGCAGTATATATAAAAATAAATTCTCTTGTAGCTTGTTACATTGATAAAAAAAAAAAAAGAAAGAAAGAACACGTTTTGAAATTTAAAAATAATTTTCAATAATTTCCATTTTATCTCGATTTTAGTAAGCTACTGTAATATTTTATATATAAATAATATACTTCTGAAAGAACACGTTTTGAAATTTAAAAATAATTTTCAATAATTTCCATTTTATCTCGATTTTAATAAGCTACTGTAATATTTTATATATATCAGTTTAATATAGTACAAAATCATTTAACAAAATTAATCAATAAATGAATATTTTTTATACATATCTTCAAATGATATTCTTATATTTATCGTCTTTGATATAAAAATTGATGTTAAATTAAGTTTCTCAAAAGAGTTCTGATTTTATTGAATGATATATATTAAATATAATTATATAATTATATTATATAATTATATAATTATATAATTATGTAATTATATAATTATATTAAATTATACAGATTGAAGATGGACCGGACGAAGAGGGAAACTATTATACGAGACCTGGAAAATTGTCCGACTTATTGCCACTTCCTTTTCCGAACGATGAAGCAGCCAGAGCGGCCAATTTCGGCGCGTATCCACCGGATCTGACCTACATTATTTTCAGTAAATGGAACGGTAGGAATTATTTGTTTTCGTTCCTCACGGGATGGATGGAGCCGCCTGCAGGTGTATCTTTGACCGACCAGCAATATTTCAATGCCTATTTTCCAGGAAATGTAATCGGGATGGCACAGGTAAATATTATTGCGTGCTTTTTTTATACAGAATCGGAAAAAAATTCTTATTGTTTTTATTACATCTATAAAACTCTCAATCAATTTAATATAACAAGGTTTGATCGTCGCTATTATTTCCGCAATAATAAATTTATATGTTTATTTTCTGTGAACTATTTTTAGATTAAAATTATATATGAAATTTTATTTGAAATAAAACATATTTATATTTCGTTAAATTTTAATATTTAAAAATTTCTAGATTTTAATAATTTCGAATATATCTTTTTCTTTCGCTAACGATCAGATTAAAATCAAAGAGAGAAAGAGAGAAATAGTTGAAAAGATAGATAACTAAAGAAAATTAAAGAAAAATAAGATATGATAATATGATCCGGTATATGACATAATATCTACAGTATATGACATAATATTTAGAAATAAATTATCTATATTTATGTCTAATAAATTATTTTCATTATACATTTAAAATAATGTTAAATATAATCATTATGCAAGATTCTGTCTTATTGAAAGAGACATTATTCATGCATTTATACGTTATTAATATTTATTTTAATAATTAACTTTTTTAAATAGAATTTTAATGCGCGCTCTAATGTTCTCTTCGATATGATTGTGTTATGATATATTATAACATAGAATCATGTTCAGATGCTATTCGAAGGAGCAGTGGAGTATGACGATGGTACCCCGGCAACGACGTCACAAATGGCAAAAGACCTAGTTGAATTTTTAAGCTGGACTTCTTCGCAAAATTTTGACACACGCAAGCAAATGGTCATCAAGGTAATAGGAATCTGTCTTATAATGTTGGCTTCGATTGGTCACCATATGAGGTACACTTGGTCGACATTGAGAAGCAGACAAATCGCATACATACCCAAGGGAAAATATTAAGAAATATTCTAGACAATAGATATTTAGCTCGAATCTCCAAATAAGGAAAATTATTTATCGATATTGAAAAAGAGGAATAGTAAGTAAAATCATTTCGAATATTTCATTCGCATAAAGATTTGATCCGCATAAAAATTAATTAATAACGATATAATTCTTCTTAGATTCAAATTGCTCAAATATTTAGCTGATAAAAAGATGACAAGAATCGTAATGAAAAAACGTAAAACAGATAGTTTTAAAAACATCTCTTCAGTACTTTATACTTGTGCACATTTAACTAGTAAATGCGAGGAATAGTAGTTTTTAATTGTAAATACTAAAAATTCTTTAAAAATCTTATAAAAATAACATTAAGTCTCTATCAAATAAAGCGAAAAAAAAAAAAAAAAAAAATATTGGGTACATGTTTCAATTTTATAAAAAGAGAAAGCGTTGCAAATTATTTTTCTAGAACAGCTTGTGATTCGATTTAAGGAGGCAACGTTAAATTTAATTTTGCCATGTATCGAGAGGCAAATTTTAACTCGACTCGACGCGATGGTAGTAATCCTTATTTAGAACCGAGCACACGCTCGCGTGGATTGAACAAAGTTGCATCAGTGTGTACGTGTGTATATAAAAATACAGTTTATAAATACACCAACGACTTCGGACGAATCCTACGTCTCCGCTTAAAATCGACGCGGACCGGAATGGGACACGTGCAAAGTCGACGTCACACAAAGAACGCGGATGATCCAGCGGCTGACTGCAGCAGCAACGCGGCGTAGTATCGCGGCATAGCGTCGATAATCGCATTTCGCAATGCGCGGCCTTGACGGTGCCCGTATAGTTGCCGATCGGGTCGTCTAAAAATAGGAGCTCGCGCGCGCGGGCAACAAACATTAACGTCGTCTCTCACACGAGTCGTTAACTCCGGAATGACCAGTGGTCGCTTCGCGAATCCATCTATTTCATCCGTAATAACACCCCGCGCCTTTCCGCCTCCACGCCACACCTCACCGTCTATTTTTAGACCACCGCGTATACAACTACGTAGCCGCTCGCTCTTTTTTTCGTCTCCCTCTCTCGCTCTCTCTTTCCTTTTCTCCGGTCGCTTCTCGATCCGATGATCGACGGCGGCAAAATAGAATGTCGAAAATAATATCGGGCGTTTCGACAAGGGCTATATATAGGAGATGATGCGTCAGTGCAGCAACAAGTGAGGCCTGCGGGTAGAGGAGAAAATCGTGGCGACGGAGAGGGTGAGAGGGGAGGGACGCAGGACGAATCGAAAATATACGGAACGATGAATGAAACCTCCGCATTGACGTCGCCAAGACGCGCCGAGCGATGTCGAGATTATCCAACTCAGGGCGGGACCGTTTTTGAATGCATCTCGGGGGGGCGATAGTGACGGGGTGAGGGGGGGAAATCGAGGGAGAAACGGCGCGACGCGCGACAGATGTCTCGAAATATCATCAATCCTCCGGGGATTTGCTATATATCGGCGGGGGACCGACATGATGTCGATGTATCGCGCGAGCAGGAGCGAAACCCGAATGGAAGCTAACGTAATTTCGGCGAGAATAACTTCTCGCACGACGTAAATATATCGGGCGAGATGAAAGCGCGATATTACAGACACATGCGACTACGGAATCCGACTAATAATCCGGCCATTTGCAGTCGATCCGCGCCGGAAAAAAATTGACATAAACGATATCTTGTATAACAAGACATTGAGGCAGGTGAAACAACATGTTGAATTTAGCAAAAATTAATTATAGAAGAATGCCATATATTATATCGATCAGATGACCCGACGACAAATATATCTTGTATAAGGAAATCACACTATTGTATAATTTATTTTTTTGGGGAGCAAAATGACGTTTGCTGATTAAATTAATAGTAAGATTTTTCTTCCTCTCCACAACAAGATTTTTATCAATAAATTAAGTGATTTCCATATTGATCATATCGTGCATTGCAAATAATTTGTTTTCGATCGATGCATAGATAATGTTTTATTCTTATGGGAAAATAATATTGTGCAGACATATGTAACATGTTACGCGTCGCGTTTTATTTCAAGAGAGGTGAGAGATCTGTTTAAAATGAATAAAATACACACAGTCAACGAGGAAGATGTACGAAAGAGGAATGTCAAAATAACACTGTTTGAAGAGATAATAGTAAAAACTGCGAGCGTATAAAATATATCGAGCGAATAAAATGTATCAACAGTAGTTAAAGTTATACTTTTAAATAGCGACGAAAATATTTCGATGTTAAAAGAAAAGCTATGAAATTTTAAATACGATTTTTCACGAAGTGTACTGTATCAAAAGTCATATAAAAATTCGTCGATCACTCTTTTCCTGCTTATGTATGAAGATTTTAAAAATTTTGATATTTTTTAATCAATTTTTATATCTTTTATAAAACTTTAACTCTGTAATAATGATGAGCTAATCCATCTCTTTTGACAGATTTTTTTCAGAATTAATTTTAACGCGTCTTATATTACTATTTTTATCGAATATTTTAATAATGTTAATAACATCCATTATAATATTTTTAGATTAGCTCTTCAAAATAAGCGCAAAAATTTGAAGGAAATGAGATATCCACCTTATTTATTTATATTTAATAAAAGAAATATTTTTGGATGTATTATGTTATATCAAAGAGAGAGGCGCGCGGTTTTATTACTTACAAACGTACATAAGTCACCTGTAAGCAAACTTGCAGAAACGAAGGTATTTCTATCGCAGCATCGCTTCCATCGGATACATAAATATATTGAAATGAGCGCGAAATACACGTAGATGAAAAGCGGATCTGCTTTTGAATGAAACCTCCGTGTTGACGTCACGCGGACGCGGACATCGTTATCTAAGGAGAGTTGGTTTTGCGAAATCTCGCGGTATTTCTTACGCGCTGCCAAACGGCCCCTTCCTCCCCCACAAGACTCAAACCCAGAGAGACTTACGTCGAGCTCTCAGAATAGTGAATCCCGGTCGGAAATAGCCTCGCACTTTCGGTAATATGGCCATATGGTTGCGGCCGCGATGAAAATACGCTCGCGAACCGTTGAAACCCGCGTATTCAACGCACAGAGAGTAGCCCGATTCTGCTACGTCTCCAATTAAAATAGTCTTCCGTTTAAATAGAGTCTGTGTAAACTCGTCGAGGGGCAAAGTCGTATTTATCGTAATTCTCAAGGACTGGCATGTGTATCACACTTGGTCGTTAAATATTGTGGAATCTGAGAGATGCTCTTTGCAGATGAATATTCGAAGAAATTTACCGATCACTCGTAATTATTGAAATTGTCGCAGAAAAAAATGGAAAAATTTAAGAATTTAATTTAATTTAATAAATTGAGGGATTTAAAATTTTACAAATTTTAATCATTAATTTGAATAGTCTTGAATAAATTCAAGATATCACATTTCATAAATTTGTTCCACAGTAAAATATATTAAAGAGAACAATGCATAAATTTAAAATAAACGCAACAGAAATTATATCTTTATACCTCCCCCCCTCTCCTCCTCTCTGTCTTTCTCTTGGATATGACAAAATACTTGGACCAAGCAAGACTATCGTGTTCTATCTGTAATTCCAAGTTTTGCTCTCAGGAATTTACTTGTCGATTAAATTTAGCCCGAGCGTGTACTTAACGATCTTAAATGAGTATTCCGGGACGTCGCGTTGTCAGGTACGATCGAAGAAAATCTTGGCTCTTTCAATTACACCTTCGTCGACACTTAGGAGCTTATATGAACGCTACAATTCCGTGAAACCGATCGATTATCCGGCCGTCTCTCATTTCCACGCGTCAACATAGGCCGCTCGTCAAAATAGAGGATCATGCTATCCTCTCCGTCTCTCTTTAACTCTCCCTCTTCCTTCTCCATTTTTTCCTCCTCTTTTTCTTTACCTACCGCCACGTTTACTTTCATATGTACCAGCGAGCCGGTATTTTATGGCCGATACGAGCTAGTCTACATAGTTAGTTTAATAGGCTAGGAGAACGAGTCGCGGTCAGAACAGAGTGGAAACTATTAAAGTCTCGTTTCCAACCGTTTATTCAGATCGAACTCTTCTCCTCGGACATGTGCATCAAACGATATAAAAGGATGTAAAAGGATAACTCGCGTCGTTCTTTTATCCAGAGAAGGAGAAAGAGCGTGAGAAACTTCTTCGTTCCGAACAACTCTTCGCGAAAGAGATTAAACTAGTTACATGCTCTATCATATCAAGTAGTCTATAAAGAGCACAAAGTCTTCAGCATCTTTATGCAACTTAAAAATTTATAAAGTTTTTACAAGAGAATTAAATTTTTATTTTATAATTTCCGCAAAAAATGTCCCACGTAATTTTATTTTTTATTTTATTTTATTGAATGCACTATATTTTTTTTAATTTTATTTTATTGAATGCACTATATAATATGTTAATTCGTTTCTCGTTAAAGATCTTTTTCAAATCTTATCCTCGAATGAATGCTGACATTATGCTTATGTTTATATTCATTCTTACGTTTATATTATTAAAATATCAAGTATCAGCATCTCTAATTAGACGTTTCATAACGAGAAATATTATTACATGATCTGTTTATATTAAAAAAGATAAATAATTCTAATTTACAAGTGTTATAAATTTTAAAATGAGAAACGTGCCGCAATTAACTTCGATTGAGATTTTCAAAACCAGATTTATATCAGCGAGTAAATAAAAAAAAAACTCGTATATCGTTTAGACTATTTTTGTGATGCCATCAGCATGTCATTCGTCTCCAGAACGAAGATCCCTTGTCGAATCGCACGATTTTACATAATAAAATCGTTGTCGTGTGTACAAAAAACCGTGTGTATAAAAGCACAACGAAAGAGATAATCGAGCAGTGTTTATTTCGGCAACTTGGCACAACACTTCCAATTAATAATAGTCGTAAACGTCTCCCGCATATCTCACAGTTGGACAAACAATATATTTCTGTCAGCGACCGCTCGATCTGTGGGAGGTCTTGCCGATGTGTCGTAAGAATCGTCATCGTCACGAGATAAACTTCTACCCCTTCTCATCCCGGAAAGAACAAAATGGAATTGCTGTATATTTGCATCGAGTATCGATACACGCATTAAAAATTTATATACAAGTGTGTACAAATAAATGTATTTAAAAGAAGAAACTACACAGAAAAAATGGACATTCTTGTTTTGAAAATATATTTAGTTTTAACATAGAAATCTTGAAATGAGATTATATTGCGTTAATTAAAGAAAAAT